AGGTCCCCTCCATCGAGGAGCGGTGATCCGCCCTTTGCTTCTTCCTTGAGGCCTTCTTCTCACTAGAGATTGCCAACATAGAAGCCATGCTCGCCATATCTAAAGAAGAGAAAAAATAGTTAGTTGAGTTAATTATCAAGGAAATACCAAGTGCGGATGCAGAAGACTCAATGACCGACCTACCTACACGACTCAAGCCGGCCTGTATAAGCATGGGCTCGGCCATAACACTCTCTACTTGGACGTTTTGGCTGACAAACTCTTGAAGCGCAGTGTGTAGCTCCTCATCCTGACTCTCACTGAAGCTCCGATAGTTGCTATACCAGAAGGTGTTCATACCCCAACCACCATCTCTAGAAAGGAAGAAAAACTTGCTCTTTCACCCCTTAACTTTATTAGTGAAGTCGACCTGCACCTTGTACCCACTTTGAAAAGGAAGATAGAAGCAGAAAGGGCTAGAAACTCTCTTCATATTACACAAGGTAGCGAAGACATCAAGGTTTAGAGGGAAGTTATGGTGGTGGCACAAGCTAATTAGCCCCACCAAAGTTCGGATCACGTTCGGGCTGAGCTAATCCAAAGATACACCATAGTACCTCAACACGGGAATGATGAAAGGGTGAAGGGGGAATCGGAGACCAGTGACCAGCACCTCCTCGTAAACACACACTACATCTTGATCATGATCCCAAGGATAATGATCAACACGCAGCTTGATCCAGTTGTATTCACTTGGGATCTGATAGGTGTGACACAACTCAACTATCCTCTCCCCAAACAACTTGGTTGGACCAAACATAGTTACAACCTACTTGACCTCGTGCCTTTTCCCTATTAGAGATCTAGCACAATACTCCCCATAAGAGTCCTCCCTTGAGGAGCTCGCCTCACTATCTGACCTCTATTCGGACAACCTACTATCAAATGGATTGTGGGACATTGGAAAAACCAGAATACTCACCGGAAAAGTAAAGGAAGACCGATGACGACAACTAATGGGATCCCAACAAAGAGCAGAACTCGGACTGCGACCTCCTCAAGTTAGACACCACCCTAGAAAGCCCCAAAAAGAAACAATGCAAGTGGGGACCTTAGTAGGGGACCCCCTTACTTATAATCCATCGGACAAAGAGACGAATGGTGCAGATGCATCTACAACAAATCTACAGCTAGCAATGCGTGCGAAGAATTTTGAATTCAAATTTGTGCGCCCGCAGAGCACGCTCTTTTTCAAATTTGAAATTAGCGTGCTCAAAGTGCATGCCTCGTTTTTGGATTTGAAATTTGAAAAAGTTGCCGCAGTTTGCTCAACTTCAGATTGAGTTAAGAAAGCAAGCCGAGTGACCTACAAACCAGTCGGACCAATTACCTAATTAGAAACTACTCCCTTCGCCGAGCTGACGTAGGCTTGGGAGTGGGGGGTTATTGATGAGGGGTAATTTGGTCATCCTAATCATCTTACGACACATGGCCTTGGAATGACACCTCGGTGCCGAGTAAGCAAAATAGTTCAGGAAGTCAACCTAAAACACCTTGTCCAGGCCGACCTCCACCTCGGCCAAGACGAACTGATTAGCTCTCCATTCATGGTGACTTGCCTTAGAGACCGGTTGAGCTGTAGAAGTCAACGACGAGCTGCGAGAAGGATCCACTGACTTAGACCGACGGTATGTTACTAGCCCAAGATCTTCGGAGCGCATGTACCTCGACCATTAGACCGGCCTACCGCATCGCACGCCTCAGAGTAACTTAGACATATATAGTATAACTGTCGCACCAATCTCGCAACCAATGCATAACTGCGCCGAACTAAGTGGTAACGGTTCCAGGAGAAGCTGAAGCTCGTTGTAAGAGGGCTCTGACAACAAGTGCCTATATAAGGCACTCATTTCTACCTGTGAAGGTACGCACGATAATACACTCTCTAGCTCTCTCATTCTCTCAAGAAATATCTAAACATCTTTTGACTTAAGCATCGGGGTGCCCTCCCTGGGTATAGACAACCTGAGCACTCTAACATCCTTTTTTGTAGAAGCACTTTATCTCAGCCACCACCAGCTCTGCCTGGAATTGCTTGGCCCTAACAAAGAATCACTTGAATCAACATCCGAGTCATCTAATACGAGGGAACAACCAGATCGCGCAACATCAATTGTGTTCAAGTTTTATGAATAATGAAAATAAAAACATAATTTATTTCACTTGATTCCAAATACCTGATTACTCTCTCACCAAGATGAACAGTCTAACTGACAAAAATAAAATAAAATAAAAGTTGAAGGGTCTAGATCTATAAACATTTGAAATGTAACGCCCACTGTCTCGTCATTTGGTGGTTGATGAATTTTGGGCCAATTTGGTAGATCCCCGTCGGGCTGCAAGCCTGCAACTTAGGTGGGTTGTGGGTCAGGTGGGGCCAATTGAGTCCAGCACTTAGTAATTGCATCTATAAACTAATAAGGCTCGGCCCATAATTAAAGAAAACTTTTAACAATTATCAAAATATTTGTAAAGTATTCACTAAATGTGCTTCTTATGTTGTATTATTGGATTTCTGGTCTTGATAAAGTAGCCCAGACAGAATCGCATCTGAAGGTATTGTATTGTATCAATTATCAAATACATGTAAAAACTAATCTGTCATCCAAACAATACATGGAAGGACTTTGGTTTGCCGGCTTAATTTTCAACATGTCTTAGTTTGGAAGGAGTACAAATACAAATATGAAAAGTGCAAAACCTTGTATTATGTATGTATTTGCACTTTACATATTTGTATTTGTAATCCTTCCATACAAAGTATTAGAAACTGCCAGCGGATTGCATCCTAGACCTAATATGTCTTGGAAACTAAGAGATAAATTTCTACCGAGAGTTCTATCGAAATGCATGATCAGAGTCTCCATCAGTAGTAGATTTGTTGAAAAAGCGCCATTATAAATTAAGAGATAATTCTCAAATACTATCATCTTATCAGAATTGAGAATTCTTCCTTCTATTTTAGCAGAATGTAATGTGTTCCATGTTGGGCTTTATTTATGCTATCAAAATGGTGTGACGGAACTGAAAGTGGAGTGATAATAAATAATACCTCAAAGACATTTCGGAGGAAAATTTAAGCTCACCTTGGCATCCTAATTTGCATGAGAAGCCAAAAATGGGCTTCTACAATCAGAGATTCCATGTTTTCAACTACTCCTTTCATGACCTATCGCGTGAGCTTAAGAAGAACCTTTTGAAGGAGGATTATATGAGACTCGTGTTATGTATTGACTAATGTTATCGTGCTTCTTCATTTCTTGGTTTAATTTTTATTTTTCCTATGATAAATACTTTCAGGCAGGGTTGAATGTGAGAGGTTGTGTGATCTTTGTTTGGTGGAAATGTGGAGTGATTAATAAAACGAGTAAATTTTGGGATTAAAAAAGGGGAACCCCATTTGTGCAATATGCTTTGATGGAGACGAATTAATTGATAGACTATATCTTATTCTATTTTAGTGCTGCCCATGCCATTAGTTTTGGTTCCTGTTTAGCTCTCAAAAGTAAAAAACAAATCAAATGGGTGGTTCTTTGTCTATGGAATGAGATGGACAAAGAACAGACCTCAACCTCGTCATAATCTGATGATATACCCACTCTGGTAAAAGGTGGAATTGGAATTATGGTGTAAGACATGGAAAGGTAGAAATAAAAATATATTTGACCAAGAAAAATTTAGGCCGTTGAGTGTAATATCAGTTAAGAGTAGAAGAAGATAATCAGAGTCATGAAGGGGAGATGAATATTGTTATATGTGTTCATGGGATAAGGAGGGTCAGGAGTAACCCTTTTCTAACTAGTTGGGTCCAGTAGGTTAACCTCTCTTTCTTATACTTACTATATAAACTCATCTTTAATGGTAAATAAATATAACAAACTCCTTAACATTTTCTTAACAGTTGTCACATTTTAGTGAATCTTCTACTGGTGACATCATTGATGGAGGAATTCAAGGGAACTATTCCCCCTATTCACATTTTGTGCAGAATTTCCATTATTTGAATGTTCTTGATATTTATTTATATATCAATTAAATTCGAAGAATGTTGGATTTGGAAATAATTTGTGGGTATATTGCCTTGATTCTTGATTGTGAGTTGGGAGTTGTTTCATGTCCCGACCCGCATTTGTAGAGAAAATAACCTCAAGTGGAAATTTTATTGAGGTCTGTGGTGCATGATTATATATGGGTCCCATATATGATGTACCTTATTCTCTACGATTTGACATAAGAAATAAATTGAGAGTAAGATTTTGTTGGGTGTGAGAAATAGGGATCAGATCCATATTCAGCTTTTGGTTCTATTTCGAGGAAAGGAGATTTGGGTGTATTTGGGTTGAGATCAAATCAGCCCCTTACAAGATTGCCTTCGTAATGTCCCACAGCATATTCTAGCCGTGTATTGAGAATATCTCCCAATGATAATATTAGAAATAATGATGTCATCATCGGGAGATGTTTTTAATATACGGCGGGAATGTACTGTAGAATGTTGTGAGGGGCAAATTTGAACTCATTTGAGTTTAGGGTTTTCTGTAAAAAAGGTTAAACACAACTCTGTATCCATTAATAATTGTTTAGTTCTGTTATTGTTATTATTTTATTTCATTTTCTTGTGTCATTAAAATCTGCCTCTGAGTTTTGCACAACAATGTAAGTGCTCAATTTTTGCATTTTCTCTCACGAGGTTAGCCATTCTGCAACATAAATGAAGAGTATGAAGGAACACATCTCTCTCTCTCTATATAATATATATATAATAGAATAAAACACACATTGGTTAGTATAGTAATTACCAACCATGCCAAATCATTTATTGTTATTAATATTTAAATACAAGAAACTAAACTAACCAAATTGCCAAAGCCTTGATTAGTCTAGTAAATTAACATTAAATGTTATTTAAACAGAATAAAACACACATCATCCAACACCCTTGTCCTTTAATTAGTGATCGATCAGAAATTAACATGAGATCGGTAGGTCACATTGGGCTTCCAATCTTTGGGAATTACATTTGTGGCTACGAGAGTCTTGCCGGATTCAATCGTCTTAAGCCGGAGAGAGAAGGGAGCTTGCAACTTAAAGCCAGCGTCAAGTCTCCAGACTGCACCCCATGACTGCTTCATGGAAAGCCACGTACCTGGGCGCGATGACTCTTGAAGATCAACAGCAGCAAGATCACCATCTCCATTTTCGAATTCAATTACAGTTGCAAAGTAGTAACCATTGGAACCTGAGTCAACATGGAAGGCGACAGATACCCCTGGATAGTTGCACTGCACCCTGCACACCTATGTGCCATTATTATTGCATCTCATGAAACGTAACCATATCATCTTTCTTAAATCAAATACATATACATACATATCTACATAGATATATAAATAAATAAATAAATAAATTCCACCCAAAATGTCAATATATAGGCAAAGTATCAGATTATTAGAGGCCTTTCTTACTGTAAATTAATTAACATTAAGGCCCCGTTTTTTTTCGGAGAGTTTATTTACTTGGATAAGTGTATTTATTTATGTTTTTTATTTCTTAGGTAAGTAATAAAATGATTATTTTAACTATAAAAAATCATTATTCAAAAGGGTAATTTTGTCTCATCCAGGTAAAAAAATTGTTTACCCACCTGAGAAATAGGTATCACTAAACCTAATAAATAACTAGGAAAAATAAATTTTCCATAGACCCTACAAATCTCATTGACCAACTTTCCTACTCTCCAAAATCTTAAAAAAAAAGGGCCCTAAGCATTGCATACATGGAAGCCTCTATCTACCTCCTAGCTAGCTAGCAATCTTAATTAATAATTTTCTTAATATATAGATTTTCATGTTCAAATTTGAATGTTAATTACCTAATAACTAATTAGTTGTATCATCATTAATTAATTAATAGAGAGGATGATTGTCAAGCTCTTAAACCATAAATATGTCCATGATTAAATTCTTGTTTAAATGCATTCGATCCGATCGTTTCCTTGTTTGATCAGTTAATGTAAGATGCATACCTTTGATATTGTACCTGCAACCGCCCAGCATTGCGTAGTTGATCGCCTTTTCCGGAGATTGCCATGGCTCCAAATGCTGTCCCACTCAAATCAAAATGAACAGGATCTGAGTCACAAGGGCCCCCCTTGCACTCATCGGTGATTACTACTTTCACTGGTTTCCCTGAACAGGCTGCATTATTGGTACACTTCACCTGATATCAATCCCAAGTTATCAAACACGTACAAGTCTTCATCTATGCATGACACTTGATATAAGTATAACATGCAACCAATTAATTAAAGAAAATTAAGTTAACCAATATGAGCATTAATCTTCAATTTAATTAATATATAAATGCTGCTTCACCTGATAACAAATCCCACAGCCTTTGCCGTTCTTAAATATAGAAGGTCCTCCCGCTGATATCATAGAGGAGAAAGGAGCCTGCCCTACAGAATTCCCATACCCACAAGCTCCACCTATACAATTAAACAAAAGAAAAGGTATTAACTACATTTAAGCTACTTTTGCTTTCCAGTAAGTTATTTAATTATTTGAGGAAATGCATTTATCTGGATAAGTGTTTCTTGGTAAACATTTACCCAAGTACGTATATTTATTCATTTTCTTTTATTTTTCAAGTAAATAAAATAATGATCATTTTAACCATAAAAATTCTATTATCATCAAAAGGGGCATTTTTGTCCCATCCATGTGTTGGCAACTTCCCTAAGATAAAAAAGTTAATTTACCCGCCAAGGAAATGAGTATCAATTAGTTACCCGGGTAAGTGATACCCAGGAAAGTAAACTTTCCCTTATCCCCACATAAATAAAAAAAACAAACATGGGTTTCATGGTCACAATCCTATTAACCAACTTTCCCCCCTCTCAAAATCCCAAAAAGGAATGCCCCCTAAGTAAAATAAGCATCTTCTCTCTTTCAACACTACACACACGCATAATATACCTACCATCGCTCCCAAAGCCAGTTGGGCTTCCATACCATGTTGCCACAGCCGGCGACCAACCAGAATTAGCTAAAGTGGCATTAAGGAGCCTGTTAGAGCAAGAACAGAATTGCAGGTGAGAAAACAAAGCAACAGCGAAGAACAAGAAAGAGAAAGCTTGACCGAGTATAGAAGCCATGATAAGCACTGTTCTGCTAAGCTAACACTGGCCGGCAGTATTTAAACTAACAAAGGTCACTATAACTCATTAAGAAGATAGTTACATAATTAATGGCATATGCATGGATAATGTGGAAAGTTAAATCAGGCATTTATAAAATAAGAAAATTCAAGTAAATCCCAAAATATACATCAATAACACCAAATCCAAGTATTTAATTACTACAAATAAGATACACATCTATACTATATATATAAAGCAAAGCGGGTCTACATCATCATGCTTCTCTTTATCTTTCCTCTTGGCTTTAATTAATCCTTTGTCTCCATTTCCCCAAAAAAAATCTCTCTTAAAGCCTATCTTCCTCTCTCTCTCTCTCTCCCCTAAAACCTCTCCTAAATCTTCCTAAAATATATCTCTCTTATTTACCCATGTTTTCTCTAATTACTTTTTATTCATTTACATGGGTCAATTAAAGAGAGACAACTTCACTATTTACAGGTACAACATACAATATTGATCCCATGTTGACATTACCGGTACTAATGTATTAAACACAATAAATAATAATGGTTTGTAAAATTAATTAGTTAGTTAAATATTTTTAGTAATTCATTTAATTTTCATTTAAAAGTGATTAATATAATAGAAAATTCAAAATAAATTACTAGTTTTTAATTTTAAAAACAATAATTGTTAAAATTAATTACAATAATATTATATTTAATTTATAATAACAAATTTCAATATTATTAAAAATTCTAAACAATAATAAACTTAGCATAATATCATAGCTTAAATTATACATCAATAAAAATTTACTAAATAATTAATACTTAATAAAAATAAAAACTATTGATTTAAACCTAATTCTAATACAATTTTAAAATTATCAAAAAACAAGTCAGCTTTAGTATGGGTTTGCTTTCACTGTAACTTGACCCTCCAATCTTTCTATTCAAACCCGACTTAGTGACATATGGTTTCCAAACCCAACCCAAACCTATAAGGGTTCAACCTGATACCAACTAGACTTTTTACCTTTTCAATTGTTTTTTTCTATAATCCATTGGAAAGATGGTAATTTAACCTGCCATTAGTGAGACTCCGACTTGCCCCATCCTGATTGGGGTGACGTTCTTGTTTGTTGATCAGGTCCAACCCAAACTTCAGTCACCAGGGTGGGGTGGCATTTATCCAGCCCACCCCAAACCGGCCCTTACCCCNCAATATGATATATTATTTTATATTATGTTTTATATATTATATATAAATATTATAGTATGATACCTATAATACATATTATGTATAATAATTTATATTATGTATAGTATAAAATCTATTTTATACAATACATAATATTCTATAATCAACCTTAACAAACATTATTAAAAATAAAATTTTAATGAAAATTAATATAGCTTTATCAAACAAAACATACTATCAAAATAATTTTCACAATGGATTTAGTCTGACACCTACTAACTCAATTAGAAACAAAATAAAGACTCCTTCTAACTCAATTTCTTAAGACAAAACCTATGCATTGCACGGGTTCTAACTAGTATACATATAAAAAGCATACTTTAATAAATTATGTGAAGTTGAATCATTGGGACACAGTTGTGAAGTGTTAAAAATCATAGAACTAAGGCCTTGTTTGGTTCATGGGAATAGCGGTCTGGAGTCGGAATTGGAATGGACTATTCCGGTTCCAATTGTTTGGTTGGGCAGGATCAGAATCACATTCTTATTCTTGGTGAAATGGCATTCCCCCATTTGAGGGAATGGCCATTCCCACTCCCTCTCTTGGAAATGAAATCTCACTTTCTTGCTGATTCCAATTTTCATTCCTATTCCTTCTTAACCAAACAGACTATGAGAATAGACCATTCTGATTTTGACTCCGAAGGATTTCAATACTGATTCCGATTTTGATTCAGACTGTGAACCAAACGGGCCCTAAAATTTGCAGAATTCATATCCTTATTCTTAGCAAATCAGTATAATTACTGTTAATAATTATAAATATATAAATTTAAAAATTAATTGTTTTTTAATGTTTTAACTATTTGGCATGCACCAAGAAGAGAAAATGTAAAGTTAAAATTCATAACCTATAAACGAGTAATTTTAGTGCGATGATGGAGTTGTTTTTCTTAAATAAAAGAACTAACGTCATGTTTGGGAGTGCTTAAGTTAAAAATAAGTACTTATTCGAATAAGCACTTGTTTGCATTTGGCACCCAACTTTTTCAAGTGCTTATTTTTTTTTAAATAAGCACTTATTTTATATTGGGTCTTTGGTAGTCTTTTTTCTAATAAGCAGTTAAATAAGAATTTGTGACTATTTTGTCCTTCATTTTATGAAATTTTCAAAATATACCCTTTAAAAACACTTTTATTAAAYTACTTTGTTAAAAATACTTTTATGAAAGTACTGTTATAAAAAATATTTTTATGAAAGCACTTTTTTTAAAAGTACTTATATGAAAACACTTGTATAAAATCACTTTTATGAAAGCACTTTTACGAAAGCACTTATGTGAAAGTACTTTTGTGAAATCACTTTTATGAAAACACTTACACAAGTACCTTTATGAAAGCACATTTAAAAAAGTAGTTTTATAGAAGTACTTTTATAAAGTAATTTCGTAAAAGTACTTTCATAAAAGTGCTTTCATAAGTGTTTTTGTAAAAGTACTTTCGTAAAAGTGCTTTTGTAAAAGTACTTTCAAAAAGGTGATTTTATAATAGTGCTTTCGTAAAAGTGATTTTATAAAAATGCTTTCATAAAAAGACTTATAAAAGTGCTTTTGTAAAATTCAACTAGGAATAATATTATAAGTGGTATTTTAAAATTCAACTAGGGATAGTTTTGGAAGAAAAAAAAAATTTAATAAGTGCTTATTTTATAAGAACTTGAAAAAAGCTGAAAATTTAGGCATAAAAAATAAGCCCTTATTTTTAAAATAAACACTTATTTTGGGCTTATTTCCCAAATACCAATAAGTGCTTAATGGCCCAAATAAGCACTTATTTTGAATAAGAACTTATTTTTAAACACTCTCAAACATGGCCTAAATAGGAATCTTCTTAGTTGTAGTTTTTCTATCATACAAAAGCCAAGGGTTAAGAGTTATTAGGAGAATTTAATGTTGTTGATACGAAGAGAGAGAACAAAGATTAATAATAGAAATGAATTTTAATTTGAATTTAAATGCACTAAACATAGAAGCTAATGAGATAAGATGGGAGAATAGCAATTAATCTGAGTTAATGTAAGAAAAAAAAAAGAAAAACTAATTTGAATGGACTAAAGGAAATCCATTGTATATGCGATATGCCCAACCCACAGTACTGAAATTGTTGAAGTACTCTACGTCAAATGGTTTTTTATTTATTTTAAAAACAAAACAATAAGTCATTCAGTTCAGCCGAATCTAGCATCATCAAACAATCTCTACCTGATATTTAGAAATCAGTCAAGTATAACCTTGTAATTAGAAGCGTGTATAGTTTGTGTAACTCCTCTCACAACTGAAATTCTGAAATAAGAAAAAAGAAGCTTTCACATTATTAATTAAACTAAATATATCATCACAAAATTAATTAAATTGGTTGTGGATCCATAAATAACCCCTTAAATGAGGAGGGGGGCATTAGACCAGTGGGTTGGCCTGAGACAGTTAGACTCATATAGATGCGAATATAAGCTGGTGTTTGGAGGGTTTTCCTCTCTTTCGAGCATGTCCTTGATCCAAAATATTGTAATTAAGCTGTTCATCATCTTGTGAATTGATCTACTTGTCCTTCTTAATAAGAGTGCCAATGGGCTGGTTTTTGGTTGGACCCGTCCAAATCAAAATCAATATGGATGGATTAGATGGACTAAGAAGACATATTGAATTGGACCAATCCAGAGTTCCAGACTTAATGATCAAAGTAAAAGTATTTATTGGATTTGTATGGACTTGGTCCACCTGTAATGAATTTATATTGGATTGCATCATATTGAATCAATATCCAGTCCATTGATAGAAGATAAGAATACAGATGTTAAATGAATCAGGTTTTGGGTTAGAACAAATCTAAATTAAAACCAATTTGAACAGATTGAACGGTCCAGACATTGAATTGGACTGGTCCAAAATGGTCAAATGTATGCATCAGATTGAGTTGGACGTGATCCATCTGTAGTGGATTCATATTGGACCAAATTGGATTGGACCAATTGATGTCTTGATGCCCCTATTCCCTTCTCTGCAAAATAAGACAATTTTGATGAATAAAATGGGTCTGAAGGCCTTCTTGTTCTAATCTAATTTGATATTGATGGGTATGAGAAAATAGATTCGTCTATGTAGTATGTATTCAGACTTCCAATTTGAACGAAACCCAATAAACCTGTATGATATATACTTTGCATAAATATACATAATTAAATATTAAACAGCAGATTGTATATTATAAATAGACAATAATGTATTTATCTATGTCTCAAATCCTACTTAATTTCTTAGAAGAAATCTAAATCAAAATTTTAAAAGCGATCTAATAATCAACAGAAGATTAGATCAACTAACATCCAAATTCAGTCAAATTAACATACAGAAAACATTTTTAAATCTTATTCAACATGATCCTTACCCTATATGAGGTATGAGGTCTCCTAGAGAAAATTTTCCGTATGGGATTCTCTTCAATCAGGTTCGTAATAGTAAATGGGTATATTTCTTAAACTACCTTTATGGTTTAGTTAATTGACTAAATGTACCTTTACTGTTTAAAAATTATCTACCACTACCTCTACTGTTTTCGACAACAACTTAAAACTTCCCCTATTGTTAATATTCTATCAAAACCGTTCACATGTGATATCGCATGATTGTTATATTTTTCAAAAATCCTTAATATACTCTTTTATGGTCGAAAATGCCCCTTTCAGTTTGGGCAGATGATGCAAAATCTATTTTTGGGCATAGACTGGTTCCACTATTAAACCAATTTCCAGTTCA